AACTCGTGAAAATTGTATGCATATATCTCGTATATGTACTACTACATCAGCTTGGTGGACCTCGTCCTCTCCATTCCAGCTTTCACTGCCGACAGAGAGAGGATGTCATAGTGTGCATGATATGCTATGTTAAATAAGACTAAGTACATATGTATGGAAAACTTCTTTACTGTAAATGGCTTTTCTGACAGAGTTAAAAATAAATCATATGATTTATATAATCTTATTGTACTGGTGGGATTTGTAACCAAAGGAAAGCGTTACGAACAAAAAAGACAAATAGTGGCTGGTAAAATGTTTGAATAGCTAGTAAAAAAAAAATCTCCACCAGCAACAGTGGCTGGTGGAGAAAATGTTTAATTTCCACTCCTGCATGCCACACGTTGATACTGGAGCACAGGATGTTCTCCACTGCAAACCTGTAGAAGGAGGTGAGGACTGAGCTTCCAGTCCAGCTTGCCTCAGCCATCTGAGGAAGTAGAGTCTCTGATGAGCTTTCTTGATCAGGCTGGTGGTGTTGTTGCCCCAACTGAGGTTGTCATTCATGTGCACACCCAAGTACTTGTAGCTGGAGAACACTTCCACCACAGATCATCCTATGTTGGGGTGGGGGGTGTGTGTGTGTTAGGTGTGTTTGTTCCTTCTGAAATCCACGACCATCTTGAAAACTTCTTCACATTGATGTGAAGGTTGTTCTTCATGCACCAGCTCTCCAGGTGTTCCACCTCCTGTAGCCAGACTCATTGTTGTTTGTGATGCATCCAACCACCGCTGCATCGTCTGCAAACTTTACAACATGACAGCCTGGATGGGTAGGTGCACAGTCATACATGAAAAGAGTGAACAGGAGGGGGCTCAACACACATCCCTGAGGGGAGCCAGTGCTGAGGGTTATAGTGGAGGAGGAGAAGTTGTGGATCCTCACTGACTGTGGTCTGTTAAGAATTCTAGGACCCAGTTGCAAATGGAGGGGCTTAGTACTAGTGTGACTAGTTTGTCCATCAGGGTTTGGGAGATCATGAAATTGAAGGCAGACGTGAAGTCCACAAAGAGCATACGGACGTAGGAGTCCTTCTGCTCCAGGTGGGTGAGAGCAGTGTGGACCACAGAGGAGATGGTGTCTTCTGTTGATCGATTCTCGTGGTATGTGTACTGGTGAAGGTCCTCAATGTTGATCGTTGTTTTGAAGTGGATCATGACCAGTTTTTCGAAGCATATAGCGACTATCGGGGTGAGGGCCACTGGCCGGTAGTCATTCAGACCAGTCACTGTAGAGCTCTTTGGGACTGGGATGATGGTGGTGGTCTTCAGGCAGGTGGGAACTGATGCCAGGGTAAGTAAGGAGTTAAAAGATATCGGCCAGTACCTCGCAGAGCTGATCAGCACAGTCTTGGGGCGAATGTGGCTGAGTGGTTAGAGCAGTTGTCCTTCAATGCGAGAGTTGGGGGTTCGAATCCACCAGCAGTCACATGCTGAAGTGTCCCTGGGCAAGGCACTGAACCCCTCAAAGCCTCTGATGTGTGTCCCATTAGTGTATAAATGTGATCTAAAGCTCTGATTAGTCTCTTTAGAATGATTTGTTCAATCAGATTTGTAGAGATCTAGTAGAGTGCTGTTGGATATTATTTTTATCTAGACTGGTCCTATGGTTTTGATTTGCTCAGAGACGGGATTATAATGAAATTATGACCCAGTTCTGACTGGGTTAAACTGGGCCAGCAGCTCTAAGAGTCTCCCTTTGATTTCAATATCAGTCAAGGAATAGAGCTTAATCTGGTTGCCACATCACGTAGAAAGGCTTTTGAAGCATCGTCTCATATTTCCTAACACACCAGAACCACATAAGATCCATTGCGATCACACTTGGTCACACCCCCTCATACACTGACAGGTTGAGCTCCCCTTCTGCGAAGGAGGAGTCTAGAACCCTATAAATGAGTAATGACACGGGACATCGGGGCTCTTCCGTGTTTGTGAACGCGTCACAGACCAGAGAGACCAGCACTGTAAACTGTAACCTTTTCCTACCTTGATTTTAATACAATTGGTAAAACTTAATTGACGTCTCCTTGATTTATTGTTTAGTATTATATATGTTTAGTAAACTTTGTCATGACGTGCCAGGCTGTAATCACACTCATCACCTGTTACTCCCAATCTACCTCCTTAAATAAACAATTTAAATTTAACTACTGTAACATTTTAAATAAACAATCCATGCAGCATGGACTGTTTATTTAAAATATTTCAGTATTTAAATTTAAATTGTAGAGAAGAGAAGTGCAGCAGGACATCAAAGGGTTAACTCTTCACACAGCTCTGCAGCACGGAGCAGAAATGTACTTCTTGATCAATTACACTGAAACAACTGAACATAGTTCTAAAATAATAAAAAATAACAACACATTTATATTTTGTGATTATGATGATTTTACGATGTGACATACTTTGAATTTTAAGTTGGAAGACAAAAGTCGTCGGTGCATCTGGACAGTAAACAAAGCCGATGCAGCAGGAGAAATGTGTGTGTGACAGAGAGGGAGATCATGAAAGGCTGCAGGAGGGAGCTTCCCCTGCACTTGTGGACTTCACACATGGTGCAAAAATATTAAAATAATTTATTTTAAATAAATAATCCATGACTTATCTATCAATCAGTCAATTGTGTCATGTCCAATCTTACTTTGAAAAACCGCTATAGAGCAAATCCATGAAAAACGAACCACGAAGTAGCAAGGGACTACTGTACTTCTATCTTAACGTGATTCTTGACCTGCCATTGTGTATCTGTTCCTACCAAACCCAGCCGGTCGAAGCAGATGACCACTTGTCCTGAGCCTGGTTCTGCTAAAGGTTTCTTCCTCATGAGGGAGTTTTCCTTTCCACTGTTGCCTTCCCGCTTGCTCAAGATGAGTGTCTGTGATGAAGTTAAATTCAAAGCAGTCTGCTCCTCAGATAAATAATGTTAAATTATTATTTTTATATATGAATGTTTCTGTTCAGTGCCCTAAGATGACTTCTGTTGTGACTTGGCGCTATAAAAATAAACTGAATTGAAATGAGTATCGGATATCGGCGGTCACCTTCCCCTCCCAATATCGGTAGTGGCGTGAGAGCCAAAATTTTCATATCAGTTGGGCTCTACTGGTGAGGGATGCTGTCAGGCTGAAGAAGGAGTCCTATCGGGTCTTTTTGGCCTGTGGGACCCCGGAAGCAGCTGATGGGTACTGGCAGTCCAAGCGACATGCGGCTCGGGTGGTCACTGAGGCAAAAACTCGGGCATGGGAGGAGCTCGGAGAGGCCATGGAGAATGACTTCCGCACGGCTTCGAGGCGATTCTGGTCCACCATCCGGCGTCTCGGGGGGGAAAGCGGTACGCCACCAACACTGTTTATAGTGGGAGTGGTGTGCAGCTGACCTCAACTCGGGATGTTGTGGGTCGGTGGGCGGAATACTTTGAAGACCTCCTCAATCCCACCGGCACATCTTCCACTGAGGAAGCGGAGCCTGGGGACTCTGGGTCGGGCCCTCCAATCTCTGGTGCTGAGGTCACCGAGGTGGTTAAAAAGCTCCTCGGTGGCAGGACCCCAGGGGTGGATGAGATTCGCCCGGAGTTCCTTAAGGCTCTGGATGTTGTAGGGTTGTGTTGGCTTACGCGACTCTGCAATATTGCGTGGAAATCGAGGGAAGTTCCCCTGGATTGGCAGACAGGGGTGGTGGTCCCCCTATTCAAAAAGGGGGACTGTAGAGTGTGTTCCAACTACAGGGGAATCACGCTCTTAAGCTTCCCTGGTAAGGTCTACTCAGGGGTTCTGGAGAGGAGGGTCCGTCGGATAGTCGAACCTCAGATTCAGGAGGAGCAGTGCGGTTTTCATCCTGGCCGTGGAGCACTGGACCAGCTCTACACTCTCAGCAGGGTCCTGGAGGGTGCGTGGGAGTTTGCCCAACCGGTCTACATGTGCTTTGTGGACTTGGAGAAGGCGTTCGACCGCGTCCCTCGGGGAACCCTGTGGGGTACTCTAGAAGTATGGGGTAACGGGCCCTTTGATACGGGCTGTTAGGTCCCTGTATGACCGGTGTCAGAGCCTGGGTTATCGCCGGCAGTAAGTCGGGCTTGTTCCCGGTGAGAGTTGGACTCCGCCAAGGTTGCCCTTTGTCACGGATTCTAACTTTTATGGACAGAATTTCTAGGCGCAGCCAAGGTGTTGAGGGGATCTGTTTTGGTGGCCTTAGGATTGCGTCTCTGCTTTTTGCAGATGATGTGGTCTTATTGGCTTCATCAGATCATGATATACAGCTTTCGCTGGAGTGGTTCGCAGCCGAATGTGACGCGGCCGGGATGAAGATCAGTTCCTCCAAATCCGAGGCCATGGTCTTGAGCTGGAAAAGGGTAGAGTGCCTTCTCCGGGTCAGGGAGGAGGTCCTACTCCAGGTGGAGGGGTTCAAGTATCTTGGGGTCTTGTTCACGAATGAGGGAAAAATGGAGCGCAAGATCGATAGGCAGATAGGTGCAGCATCAGCAGTGAAGCAGGCGCTGTACAGGTCTGTCGTGGTGAAGAGAGAACTGAGTGAAAAGGCGAAGCTCTCAATTTACCGATCGATCTACGTTCCTACCCTGATCTATGGTCATGAGCTTTGGGTTGTGACCGAAAGAATGAGATCTCGGATACAAGCGGCCGAAATGAGTTTTCTCCGCAGGGTGTCTGGGCTCTCCTTTAGAGATAGGGTGAGAAGCTCGATCATCCGGGAGGGACTCAGAGTAGAGCCACTGCTTCTCCACGTCGAGAGGAGCCAGTTGAGGTGGCTTGGGCATCTGTTTAGGATGCCTTCTGGACGCCTCCCTGGTGAGGTGTTCCGGACACGTCCCACCGGAAGGAGGCCCAGAGGAAGACCCAGGACATGCTGGAGGGACTATGTTTCTCGGCTGGCCTGGGAACGCCTCGGGATTCCCCCGGAAGAGCTGGCCCAAGTGGCTGGGGAGAGGGAAGTCTGGGCCTCCCTACTTAGGCTGCTACCCCCGCGACCCGACCCCGGATAAGCGGAAGAAAATGGATGGATGGATGGATTGGGCTCTACTGGTTAAGGGCGGCTGTGGCTGAGTGGTTAGAGCAGTCGTCCTCCAATGCGAGAGTTGGGGGTTTGAATCCACCAGCAGTCACATGCTGAAGTGTCCCTGGGCAAGACAATGATTTCCTCATAGCCTCTGATGTGTGTCCCATCAGTGTATGAATGTGACAAAGCTCAGATAAGTCTCTTTAGAATGATTTGTTCCATTAGCTTTGTAGAGATCTAGTAGAGTGCTGCATGAATGGGTAAATGAGGCACAGATTATAGTGTAAAGCGCTTTGAGTATCTTGAAATAAGATAGAAAGGCGCTATATAAGTGCAGTCCATTTACCATTACCATTTAGTCTATATAAAATATATCAAATAAATGCTTTTGTAACATTAGTGTAAAACATGTAGACACAAATCTAAACTTTGTTAATGTCCAGCCAGGAAGTTGTACAGAAAATGACAATGACAGAACCATTTATTACATTTATTAGTCAGTTATTAAACACTACAAGTGTTTGATGAAACGATTATCAGATTTTAAGCGCATTTACTCACACACTGAAGTCCTCTTCATCCAGGTCATCTCCAGACTCCACACCAGTATCATAGTCCTTCAGCCGTGGGTTCACACCTCCTACAAAGCTACTTATATCCGAGTCCCTGCAAAGGAAGATGAGGATTTCAATGTTTGGTTTGAAGCATCACTTTTTACCCAAAGTAATCACCAACCAACTGGACCCCTTCCAACAGAACCATCCAATATGTAGACTAGTGGTTCCCAACCCTAGTCCTTGAGGAACACCATCCTGCATGTTTTACTTGTTTTCCTGCTTTGACACACCTGATTTGAATGAATGGGTGATTAACAGACTTCTGCAGAACTTGAAGTTGTTAAATAATTGAAGCAGGTGTGTTGAAGTAGGGAAACAACAGAAACATGCAGAATGATGTTCCTCAAGGAACAGAGGTAGGAACCACGGATTGTAGACAATGGGCTGTAAGATCTTCCAATTCACAGACCTGTTTGCCACAAGGGTTGGATCAGTGAGCTAACAGTGAGAATGTTGGGGAATGTTGTATGTGAAATTCAGAGAGCAAGATTTCAGCTTTTTACTGTTCTTAAACTCATTCCTCATAAATAACGTTCAGCAAAAATATGAAAAACACAAGGAAAACAAGCTAAAAAAAAAAAAAATATATATATATATATACATCTGAAGTGAGCTAAATAACAAAAATGTTTTAGGGAAATTTTTGATCAATGCTTGTGGCCTGGCAGCAAAACTTTTGAAGCCTTACTTTGAATCTCACCTAAAAAATTTTTTTTAGAATGCTTGCGGACCCAAACGCCACGGATGGTGGTGGAAGCATTGAAAACGTGTAGACCTGACCATCGCTGCAGTTCATTCATAGAAGGTTTGAAGGTGATCTGATCTTATCTGAATATGTCCCCTGCATATTCCCTAAAGTCTACTTTGTCTCTGTTAATAAGTAAAAAGGGTTATTTTTCTTTAAAAAATGATCACTGTATTTTGTCAAATTTTATAAACTTTTGCCCAAAAGTTTACTATTTTATAGAAGTCAGTTTTGTGTTTTTTTTTAATGTACCTAATATTGCACAGTTTAGGAATAATTGTGTATTTGTGTGTGTGTTTATACTGTATACAGTACTCTCTCGTTATTTCGCAGTTCATTTATTGCGGACTCGCTCTAAATCACGGTTCTTCAAAATAAAGATTGGACATGACAAAAAATTGGCTGAATTACGGATGAGCCGCACTATCGAAATTAAATTTTTATTTAAAATACATTATTTCAAATTATTTAGCACCTGTTGCACCTGCTCCCTCCTCCTGCCGATCTCTGCTCTGCAGCAAAAAAGTGGGGGTTGTCGAGAGCTGACTTCATGACATTCTGTGCTCTTTTAGAACATTTAGAGTTTAGAAACATTGGTTATAACAATACAAGAGTGTGGGTGGGAGGGTTA